TTGCCCAAAGAGATTTACTTGCATAGTTACTACGTACATGAAACTTGTGAAGAGAGGGTTTTTTACACACAACTACAAATGTAATCCCAGCATTAGGGGGGAGAGAGAGAGAGTCCTCTTTGCTGCTCATCAACCTTGTCCAAACAGCTGACTGCTAAGACTGCTGCAAAATTATACCGCCTGTCTGAGGGTAGGATCCAGCTTCTTTGGAGTATAGGAGTACTAAAATTAAGGAGCAAAGAAAACCAGATTCCTTCACCCTATGTATCAGGTAAAGTGAACTCACTCTCTCTAAACACGCAAGTTCCTTGGGTATGGCCAATGATGGAGGTCACTAAAGTAATAGCCATGATCTTTGGTATTGCTTTATGCTGAACTTAGTGATTCCCTGTAATCCTTCTTCTGAGATTTACATGAGTCTGGCTTTGGAGTTGAGTGAGCTGTGAGAGACATCCAGGGAGACAGAATTAAAAAGAAGTCACCCAAACCACTCCTGCTTTACAGAGAAAGCTAAAGTTTGCTCCCACTGAAAAATGATGAGATTTTGGTTGCTGAAGCCATGATGCCTCAAAGGGTGTAGATTTTTAGAAATCATTTGCCTTGAAAATGAGGCATCTCAAAGCTGTTCCAAATTTGAAGCCAGAAGTAACTAGTAGGTTTGAAAGTCTGTTTATGCTTTCCAAGCAGTGCACTCCAGCTCCCAGCCCATCTGTCTTCTGTCCTTACGAGTACCACAGCTCAACATGATTTGAGGGGAAAGATGACTGGCGAACAAGAGCATCAGACTGGTGACAGGCAGCCTACTGAAACATTAGCACCTGTGGCATTGAAGAGGGGCTGGCTCTTGAAATACGCTCACAGAAAGGAAAAATAATCTGTCACTGAGATGGCTTGTATCCTGAGAAAAAAAAATTGATTAAAATTATAAGGCTTTACCCTTCATGGTTGAAATCATTGCAACGACATACAAACCCATGGAATGGAGTTTATTTGCATCTGCTGGAGTCCAGGGTCACATGAGACTGTAAGGGGTAAGTGGGATCTAATGTGAATGCAGTGTAGGAAAAAACCCAAAAAACAGGATTATGAGGCAAGGAATCATGACCTGATTAGAAGCTGACTAGTGGAATGACATATGTGACTTTGATCTGTTTATCTTAAAGGAGTATTATTGCTCAATTCATGGGTGTCTGAAGCCAATACCACACTTTAATAACACAGCACTCTGCATGTATAAATCATTAATGAATACTTGTGATATGACATTTGATTTAAGGAGGACGCAGAGCTTCCTGATAAGAGTTATTGCCCTAGGGATGCCTCCAACACACCTCATAATTTAGAAGGGATTTACAGAGAAAAAATTTTACCACTCTATTAGAGAAGCAAACAAGTAGCAGGTAAACAACTCCAGACAGGAAATCTGTCTGTAGGGAAGGGCAGATCTCAGGGTACGTGAGACACTTTCCCTGACTAGCTTGTCCTGTGGGCTGACAGCTACAGCTTTTGACATGACAGCCCAAAGACGAGCTACGTGGGGACAAAAAAAGTCTTTGTCATCCTTGGTGGCTGCAGCTTTTCACCCTGATCCCTACTAGCAGATCTTTTAATCAGAGCTGATGCCCAAATAAGCGTCCCAGGGACCAACTTTGTGTAGACTGACACTTTATCTATCAGAAAGGGTTAGGATGGCCAGAAATGTCCTTTCCTACGAATAAGAAACAAAAGACTGATTTCTGTCTAGACACCATATTGAAACAGAAGTGATTACACTATACCCAGCTTTTCAGTACAACGAAGTGTCATGGCAAGCCTTCCTGGTTTAACCTGAAGGATCCTGCTTACAGTGGGGTCACTGGATGTGAATTTTTTCTATGAATCTGGAGCAGATGTGTGGCTCTAGCTTTGTAGGGAGGTAACTTATTTAATCTTCTCCTAGCAGAGCTGAGGGAATTATTTTTCACTGAGGACATGCTGTGAAAGACAAAGGGAGAGAAGCAATAACTTAGGATTTGTATAAAACACATTTTTGTGGTAACAATAGGGACAGGCCCTGAGCTTACGGCAGTAGGCTAATGCTTGAGAAAGGAGATGGTTTGTGTTGGTGATTTCCAGAAAACCCCATTTTTCAACCTTGTTTTGTTACCCAGTGCTGCTGCTTTATATAGTCGCAAGAATTTAGAGTAGCTATGGATGTGCTCCAGAAGTTTTCAAAAAGGTTATTATTATGACACACACAAACCTACTTTTTAATGAAAAAATTAATAACTCTGGTTTCTGAAGCTATTAAATATTGCCTGCTTAGAGAGTAACTGTGACTCTCAAATTATCCAAGTGACATAACTATTTAAATTTTGTCACATACTTGCAATATTTACATAGTATATACACTTTGTGTGTCTCAACCATTAATGAATATTTGGCACTAACTTTGAAGTCCTTTCCTTTAAAGAAGCCAAAGGAGAAGCTTCAATATTGTTATAAGGCCCTAGGGATCTGCAGACAGACACACCTCAGTGGCTTCTAAATATGTAATGGAGGTAAATGAAAGATTAAGATTCTGATATTGCTAGGTAGAAAACTTTAAGTGAAACATACTTGAACGAATGAAAGACTATGTTATAAAAACACTTCCATTAATCCTGGAATTGATCACTTATTCCACCTCAGTGATTACTACAGGACGCATTCCCAATGAATTTGTTTTTTCTCTGTAATGTATTCTTAAAATGATAAAAATAAAATCACAAATATGGGTGTGATGTTTTGTAGAAACTCAGCTGGGTGGATAATTTTATCCCTTCACAGTCAGTTTAATTCTTGTTTTGCTATAGTCATGATCTATTAGGTTCTGTTTTAATGAATAAAATTAAACATTTCTCTCCTCAGAAATGTTTCATGCAATGGTGTAAAAATTTAAGCTTCAGTCTTTCTTAATTTTTCTTCATTTGGTTAGCCAAAATTACCAACTCAAATTATTTGAATGTAGTGTAAATGATTGCTACACCACCTGAATGAAGCATTTGGTTTTCTGTGTTTGGGTATGGCAATAAATCAGCAGAAAGAATGTGTCCAAGCATTTGCAAGGATGCCATCTTCTCATGTGTTCTCAATTGCTTTAATTTCTTTCCTACAGGAGAGCTGTCTGAATACTGTAAGTGGACATTCTGGATACCAATTTGTTATGCCAGTACATAACACCTTAGCATATTACACCCCTAATTAGACTAGGGAAACAACTTGTCCAATAGCCCATGTCCAATACCAGATGCTGAACAGTATGTTTCCACTGAGAAATGCTTTGTAGAACAATTCTGATTTGCTTTGAAAAACCCACCGATTTGCTGTGATAAATTCCGAAGTCAGCATCTCTCAACACCTGCAGCACTTTTTCTGTTGAGTTTCACCTCAAACATTTAATGGGATTTTTTTTTTCTTTTACTATCACAGTCTTCACTGCTGTCAGCACATGGATGATTCAAAGTCCTGTTGTGAGAAGAGTTTTCTTCTGTACTTCATAGGTTTCAGGACTGTCCAATGTTGCACAATGGATTTTAATTGATATTTTGAATGTGAAATTCAGTATCTGGCCAGGTAGAAACTGCTGACCTGTCTAACTCCTTGTCCTTGCACAGTTTGAACATGAGTCCATAAAGTCTGAAAGTTTTCAGTCTCAGCTTGGTGAGATAATTCTCGGCCTGACTGACTGTCAAGGAAGGATTCTCCTTACAAGTAGTTGCTCCTTTTTCTGACTCCATGTAAAAACATAAGATATCTTCCAAACAGACCTCAAATACTATTGGAAGAAGGGAGGGAAAAAAACACACTTTGTGTCTTTGCAGAAACGGCTCTGCGGGTCAAGGGACAATTATTTCTATTTTCAAGTTAAGTTGACTTGGAAGAACACATATTTTTAAACATTCTGATGGTATTGCATTGTGTGTTGTAAATTAAAAGTAGTTAGAGATTCTACAAAATTAGAAGGTAGCGACACAATACACTAAAAACCATGATGTGGTTTCTGAAATAAAACAGTTAATGTTGACTGGCAAACTAAAATTTTGCTACTATGCAAGTTATGTAACCTAATTAGGCTTATATCTAAATAAAAATTCACTCTCAATGAAAGATTCAAACTAGATATGTGGCAGAATCCAAAGAAACAAAGAAAGATACCTGGAAGTATATTTGTGCAAAACATGCAATTTTTCTAGTTATGTAACTACCTAAGATGAGTCCCGCATCATTCTAATTTGTAAATGGCCCTGTGAAAGATGAGCCAGTGACTAAAATGAGAGAAGGAAAAAGACATTGCTTTCCAGGCAGATCACCATAAATGACTAAATTACCAGAATCAACAGTGCTGTGCATGAAATTCATTTGATCTCTAATAATGTCACATAAAACAAGGCTCTAGGGTGGAATGGGCATGCCATTAGCCAAGATACGGGGAGGGAGCATTGCAAATACCAAATCAAAGCCTACTTCAGTAGTAGGGAGTGCATTCCGTAAAATATGAGATGTTAGTAAACACATTACATGCACAAAGGGTGCCCAGGGGCCTGGGGCGGTCTGGACCAGTATAAAAGCCAGTCCAAGAGCAGGCTCCCTCATCCACTTCTCTTGCCTTCTCCTCCTTGGTGAACAAGGTGAGCTGCAACCGCCTTTGCCTCTTTCTTAGCTTTCTCCTTTTTCTCTTTGTCTTCTGATCTCAGCTGAGTCTTTGCCTCATTGTAGCTCTTGCTGAGAGACTTGATCCAGCTCTCAGAATCTCAGTTCTCTTTGCCACACAGTGGGGAGGTTGGAGAAAGTCTTGGGCATTCTTTGCAGGGAAACTGTGGATCCGGGACTACTAAGGCTCTCTTCCTCCCCACGCAGCCTGTCCCTCCTCCCCAGCCCATGCCTTTCCTCTTGCCGAGCAGGCTGTCGGGCTGCACCTCACGCGCTGCCTGTGCTTTCCCTGCCCTCTCTCCCTGCAGGTGCACCTCCGTCGCGCAGCCATGTCATGCTACGATCTGTGCCGCCCCTGTGGCCCGACCCCGCTTGCCAACAGCTGCAACGAGCCCTGTGTCAGGCAGTGCCAGGACTCCCGGGTGGTTATCGAACCATCTCCCGTGGTGGTGACCCTGCCCGGACCCATCC